CCTGCGTCAAACCCGAACACAGATGACCAGTGATCACGTGTGTCCCCAAGCTGGTACCCTGCCTCCCTAACTCAGATAAGCTGCATGTGTCTGTTTTGCCCACCCCCAGTCCCATGTTCTTTTGCTAATTGCTTGGCTCTGGGCCCAGCCCTCTCAAGGCCACGGGCTGGCTTTTAATGAGGGACTGGAGTGTGTGTTTATGTGTGTGTGTGTGTGTGTGTATCAGTGTGCAGCTGCAGGCACAGTGAAGCCACACCCCCTCCCCCAACAACCTTTAACTGAAAGAGGAAGGGGGGCGGGACTTCCTCTCCCATCCATCTCTGAATGGGAGAGGGTCCCGTTTGTTTTTGTACAGTAGGGGTAAATGTTGCAGACTTTGGCCTGCATATTCTCTGGGTGCCTGGTGGGATAACGATCAAACACAATCAAGGACAAATAATTCAATCACACAAGTTTAATGAGAAGTAAGGCACAGTTTGATCATGGAATGATTATTTTGATTGTCTCAGACTGTGTGACTCGGATCTGCATCGTGGAACTCATCCCATCAAAGAGACCAGGTGTTCGGCTTAACAGCACACGTCTGGACTGTACAGTAACACCACAAAGTTTGGATTTATTAGACTTTGATCAACAAGTTTTATTGCTTAGGTGAGTCACAGCAACAGTGTCTCACATGTTTCCCCCTCCCCTTCCCCCATCACCCTCAAAGCCCTGCCCCCACAGCCCCCCCATGCTCTTGGCAATGTGACGAAGGGTGTAATTGATTTGGGACCGTATCTAATAAACGTTTGTTGATTATTCACCGGGGAGGGCTAATCCTTTTAATTCACACCAAATCAGCTGCTCAGTAACGTATCTATCATTATACAATTTAGGGCAAGCAGACTTTAGCAATGCGCTTCAATTAATTAATCCATCTATTAATTAACTAATTAATGAATCAGACCTGATATGTTTAGTTTGAAGGTACAGAGGATTCAGGAGGAATGTTATTTAATTTCACTGTATACTATACATGGCTAAGATGACAATAAAGCTTTATTTACATTATATATATGTATGTGTGTGTGTGTGTATATATATATATATATATATATATATATATATATATATATATATATATATATATATATATATAAAATTGGATTAGACTCGTAAGTCTCCATCATCTGATTTTAAATGTGTTCATCTCACACTGACAGCCACAAAGCGGCCATCGTCATCGGTGACAGGCCACACCCACAACCACCTCCCTCGACAAACGCAACACGTGTGTCATTCTCCAGCTGAAGTTCAAGCTAGTGGGGGGGGGGAGGGGGGTGTAGGGCAGAGGAGGGGGCCTCAATGGCACCCGGGGTGCCTTTTTAAGGAAATGGGGGTGATCGGGGAGAGAAAGCTTTGGTGAAAGACCGGGGAGAGAAAGGGAGACAATGGCAGAGCAGAGGCGGTGCGGGCAGAGAGGGAGGGGGGTGAAAAGAAGCGTGCTCGAAAACAAAGGTGCGGGGGAGGGGGGCGAAGGTGGCCTGTAATGGGACTGGGGAAATGAGAGGCATCTTTTCAACAATAAGCTGCGAGTATCCCCCCCCCCCCAAGATGAGCCCTCCACACACACAAAATGATCTGCTATCCTTCTGCACTGCTGTCCGACATGATAAGCAACAGGGTAATTAAATTAGGTGCATTTGAGTTTGGTCTATAACACGTGACATGAAAGAATTACATTTCTGATTTAATATCCATGAGATTCTCCTTTCTCCATCTCCTTTTTTGCAAAGAGATACATCTTTGTTTGGCAGAAAACTCCACAGGCTGGAGAATATATATTTTACATATCTAATCGGTTTAAATTGCTAAATCTTCCAGAAGCCTCTGTGCTGAGGGAAGGGGGAGAAGTTGTATTCAAAGGATTTCTGCATGATATTTCAGTTCAGGCTGGATCAGATTTTGAGATATAAGCTCCCGATTCTCTCGACACACATTATGCTACTTAGCCAGGACGGGCAGTGGGGGGTTATGGTGGATTAGGCAGGGTCGTTAAAGAAATTAATGTCACCTTTTCAAGGAAGGTCACACACAAACTTCAGGGGTGTCGACCCAGGCAAGGCTTCAGGTGTTAACCTTTCAGGAAGGATAACCCCCTCCTTTAACTGCCAGATTCAGCCACCCAAAAAAAAAACCACAAAGTTCAGGTGAATTACTGAGTCTGACCTGCCTTTGGTTAGATCTGTGCAAAGGCATCCAGGCATCCTGTCCATAGTATGTCCACCAATCCCTGGGTACAGTGTTGGTTAACCTGACTGGATAAACATGGACGGCTGGTTCTCAAATACTTACGGACAACAGTTCAAGCAGTTCATTTTATTGTTAGCATGACAAGTGTCAAAACTAATTCCATTTAAAAATAGGTTTAGTTAATTTTTATGACACTTAAAATATTTTTACTTCCAGGATGAAGTTCACCGAAAAGAGGGGGGCATTAATTCTTAATTAAAGGGATGTGGTGGTGGTACCCTAATCAGCCAGTCTGATGGTTCATTCTCCTTACAGCATAAAGCCGTGTGCCTGAACTAAAATGTTTGCTTCTCCTGCGCCTCCCCCAGTCTAGCTAGTCTTCGCAACACAGAAGACCTAGTCTCCCTTTTGATATGAAGTCTGCTCATCAAAATGCTGAGTGTCAGCTGTGTGATGATCAGCAGCCCCCCCACCATCCAGTTGCGGTGACAGGTGGCTCGTGAGAATTTGCTTTAAAGAGACATAACAGCTGCAGAAAAGGAGTCATTCTGCATGCATTGGGAGGGGGGGGGGTGGATGCCACATCTTGGGGATGGCTGTCGGCCAGTTCGTTCCCCCCTCCCCCTATCGGCAGATGCACTGGGGAGCGAGATGCACAGGTGGAGATGCAACCAGGGCCCCCCCATTGCTGAAGTGTGGCAAGCACTCAGGCGACCGCTGTGAAAGGGACCCCCGAAGACACTATTCATCTCAGATCCCAGATGGACAAAAAGTGGAGTAGAGGCACACATACACACACCCTCCTTCGTGACTCTGGAGACTGGAGGTCAGACAGGGGCCCTCAAGAAAGAACTGAAAGAAATTAATCTGCACATTGTTCTCCTGAAACAGACCAGGAGCCCACAAAGCCCATCAAATTTATGTGTCGTAAAATGCTGATGACAGACTTATGTTTGGAACAAATCTCTTTTTGCGCACATAACCAAAGCATACTTAGTAGCCATATGACCGTCCGGCAATTTATCCAAATAGTTTGCTGGACTTCATAAAGGGATGCAAAGCGACTCTCAGGGAATTTCCAGCCACTTACGGCTGCAGATAAATGTCTGAAAACAGGACTGAGATCCTGCTTTGGACCAGAAGCTGACATACCTGGCATGAAATCTCTGTGAATCTATTCAGCCAACCTTCAACTCTTGCCCTTGAACTATGCAAAAATATAACCTTAACACCAGCACCAACAGTTACATATTGAATGATTATATATCTGGATGGACATTAAATAAGGGATTCATTAGGTTTATACTGACTGTAGATCTTAAAAGGCTGCTTCTCCCTGTCGTGCAGCAGAAAGTGATGGACTCCAGCCTTTAACACAGTAACTCGTCACTAAGATATTCTGTGGGAACAACAGAAGGACCTCGGTGAGACTCAGGCCAAATGTTTACTAATCAGCTATGTTTACAACATACACTGCCTGGGCAAAAAAGTGGCATTTCATTGGACAGTCTTTAACTTTGATTATGATGCACATTTGTCATTGATTTGTTTCCACGTGCCTATGCAACATCTCAATATTTTTTTTCATCTAGATTTGCATTAATTTCTCATCGAGATCGTGTATTGAGGACAGGAGTTGAACCACTCTGTAAAGTCTGCTTCAGCACATCCCAAAGACTTTCAATGGGGTTAAGGTCAAGACTCTGTGCCGGCCAATTCATGTGTGAAAATGATTCCTCATGCTTGCCGAACCACAATTCGAGCCCGATGAATCTTAGCATTCTCTTCCTGAAATATACTCATGTTGTTAGGAGAGAAAAAAAATCCATGGATGGGATAACCTGGCCATTCAGTAGATTCAGATACTCAGCTGACTTCACTTTATTGCTGCATAACCTTAATGAGCTGTAATAATGACCCAGTCATTGGCTCTTAAGTGCTTGCTGGCCAAGCAGTGTACAACGAAACAGAACGTGGAAACAAAAAAAGATTCATAGCCCTGGGTCCCCCAGGCAGTCACCCACCTCCCAACGCAAGCCCCCCAGAATTCGCTTACGACGTCGTCTTTCGCAGCTTAGACTATATGGCGTGACACACTGGGGTAACTGCACGTCGGACTCCGATGCCTGGATCTCTGTATAAACAGTAATGAGAGAGCAGGACCAGGCAGCAGAGCTACTTAAAATGAGGTAAGAGACTCAAGTTAGAACTTCTGCTGCTTCCAGGACTCCAGCTAGGAGCATATAAAAAGCAGAAGGAAAACAAGCCTACGGAGTATTTGTGAGCGCTAAGAACACAGTTACACGATTAGTAAGTCCACATTTTACTGCGACTGTGAGAATATGCGTAACACAAATCTGATCAATGCATAGAAAATACACACATGCATGCTATATGTATGAATAACTATGCATATGTGTGTTTGTGTGTGTATAAACGATATTCGATTTAAAGAAGCAACATATGTGCCATGACAACAAAATGATTCTTTCAGTTAAAATGTCTGAGTAGTCACCGGAAATCAATAGATTAATATATGAAGTTACAGACTATACATTCGCAAGAATTTAAATGCGCGATTCAATATTGAATGAAACGAGGGACAACTGTGTAATGGATTGTGACATTTTATCATAAAATGGCATTATAGGCACCACTACCACTCGTCAACAAGTTGCCGGACTGTGACTTTAACGGGGCTGGGCGTCGATGTCCATCGTGATCTTCTAAAGTGACTCACCATCTGCGATCTCAGCCAAAATAATTCAACTTTCCCCAGATAGTCTGAACATGTTGGGATCCTCGGTGATACCACTATGGAAAACGGAGGGGGGCTATATTGTTAGGCCGTTTAGATATATCGCATAAATCAAATGCAGAAGCTAGGAAAGGGGCAGAAAAATAAAAAAATTAACGTAATAATAAATAGGTCCAGATAGACACGTATTAATTTGTCCAAATAGATCTACTTTTGTATGCTCAAATATAACAGGTACCCCGTTATATGTGGTACAGTCTTCTCTGGAGGCTAGGAGGGACCGACCGCACAATAGCTATTCCATCAGCTGTTGTTGCGGTGTGGTGGAGTTTTCTACCTTTCTTTTTTCTTTTCTAAAGTTTTTTTTCCTTTTCTTGACACCACGTCTTTGCGAAATAAAAATATTAACAGTTATTTCGGCTGCACAAGTGCCGTCGGGAAAGCCACTTTTACCATTTTCGTTTAAACTTTTTTGTATTAATTTGTCTTTCTGCCCTTTTTCTTCCGTTCCACGGCATCTGTCCATTTTGCCTTCTCCCTTTTTATTGTTTCCACCTTTACCGTTTGGGAAAATTGCTAGACGGTGTCTGCGCTGGCGAATGACTGAAGTGAATAACTAAGCCGAGATTTTTTTTTTTTATTCCACCCCCTATCTGCTGCTGGGAGGAATGGTTATACGGCCGCAGGACCAGAGCCGAGAAGCGCACGACTGAATGAGAAGACGGATTGCAAAGATATGGACCTACAAGAGAAACCTCAGCCTGCGGAAAAACGTAAGTTATTGATCTGCGGCACGTGAAGCTCCAGCAAAGGGCTCCGTGTCCTTCATACTGGCCGCACTGGTATGCTCCCCTTTTCCGCCGCCTCCCCATGCCACATTATTACACTGTAGGTACATATGGGCCACACAGTCTCGCAACATTAAATGCTCCTAACCGGGTTGAACAGCTGTATGGATCTAAGGAAATAACAGGCCGCGTTAATATGTATTTTTTTAATCACGTGACTTGCCTAAAAGAGGCGCAGATGTTTCCGCTGATATTTATAATCATAAAATCAGATCGATATTTTTTTAGACTAAAGAATATCTTGTAAATAGCGTGGACGATATACCCGAACCCTATAACTGAACTGATTTTAATTAGCGCCTTTGAGTGTTAATGTATATTTTTCCAGATCGTATAACAAAGTCAGCACTTCTCGCCCCTTTGGTCTGGGGGTGGTATCTCGCCTCCTACCCCCACATCAGAGCCTCGTCCTGCTCTGTTGCTCAAACCACAGAATGAGCGGATGCATTGCCCCCCCTCCCCATTTCATTCTGATTCCTCTCTTTATCCTCCCCATGGGATTTGGAAATAGTGTTTCTGTTTGCTCCTTTGGGTCTCTGAACCTTCCCCCAAAACGTGGCAGCGGGTTCCCTTTACGGTTTTCTATTCGTGATCATCTTCAAACGTCTTAAGCTAACTCCAGCCACAGGCTTCGGGCGTCTTGGGTCCATCTCACGGCAATTGCAGCGTTTTGTGGGGGAGGGGGACCGACACTAACCGGTATGAAGTCTGAATTACTGGGAACCGGGATTCATGTGCGGGATTAGTGCCCGTTAGTTCTCTGTCGTGTTGGGCGTGTTGACGTGATATCCGTCCTTATTTTAATGTTGCAGTTGCCATGTTATGAAATATATTTGCATCGGATGCTCCTTCAGAAAAATAACAGTAATAAAAAAATACCTAATCCCCCCCTACAGCACTGCAAATACATTCTTAAACTCACAGGTTGCTCGACTTGTTCCATGCTTGAAAAATAGCATCTCAGCTGCACCCATGAGGTAATCCGGTAGCCCTCCCCCTCCCCCCACCCTCTTCAAGCAGATGTGGTCACAAATCTCGTTTCCATGCTGCTGAAGCTCTTATGTGCAGGGAGGACCAGTCAAACTACCCCCACTAGGGTTTTCTGTTTCGGACAACAAGTCTGGCTTGTGCTTAAGTCTCTGTTGCAGGGCAGGTTTTTTCCAGGATTCTGCAGTCAGGTGTGTTGTCGGGGGGGCTAAATGACAGCTAGGGAATTCCTTGATGGGGGACCTAATGAGGGAACCAGTATTTGTTTTTTCCTCTTTTGCTCCAAGATGCTGCTTGGCCGTGACTCAGCTTGGGGGGGGGGGGAGTTTGTGGATGTTCAGATTGGTGTGCGACCAGTCTGCAGTACATCCAACGTTAGTCTGCTTAGCGCTTGCGAGAGCTTGCGTCAGATATGCTGTAGGTTGTTCGCAACCCTGGAATTGACTCTGGAGCTGGATCTTCGTACACATTGGGTGCTTTGAAGTGTCAGCCGGCCACGACGTTCTCATTTTCCCGTTCTCCTCTCTATCAGGGAGCAGCACTGTTCCAAGAAGCCAACTTGCAGGACTTCTTCCTATGGATTTCTTGGCCTGGTTGGGAAGCTGAAACTTCAGCCTCACCAAATAGCATCACGGTTTGGAAAAAGACGCAGAGGCGGCCATTTGGGAGTCAAATTAACACCGGCGGCCGTTAGATGGGTGATTTGAGTACCTGTTGATACCGTCCTTTGAAATGATACCCTTGCATTTACCCAGCCAGAGTTCTCTTGGTCGTTGGCACAGACTCGAATGTTAATTTCGATCCTTCACCTCTAAGAGTCTGTTTCCATATCAGACGGCGTGTGGTGAGAGTCCCACATGGGTATATGTGCGTAATCACTTCATACAGGGTGTGTGTATAAGGACCAGCAGACTTTCCCCCCTGACCTCTCACCCTTGTCTCTGTGCCATGAGCTTCCCGACATTCATACACACGCTGTGGAGCTTCTCTCCAGACAACAGATGCCCGGGCCTCCTTCCTGATTTTCGGCGCAGGGACGGCTTGGGTGGGGTGTGTTTTGGCCGAGTTTCAGATAGCGGAGCCCCACCTAGCCTGTGGGAACCTTCCTCAAAGGACATGGGGCTGCTCAGCTCCCTGCCCCTTGGAGATGTTTCCTCTGCACCGTGAGAATAGCCCTGAAATGTCCGTGGCTCGCATGAGAATGCAGCATTGTCCTGTCCTAACCTTTCAAGACATTCTGGTCGTGTTAGGTGTGGGCTTTCCTTTTTTTTTCCTTTTTTATTATTATTTTTTTTTTTTTAAAGAACCGGCACCGTAGTGGATGGACCTGCGGTCTGACGATGTATCTCCCATTTTGAGACAAAGCGGCTGCAAGATATTCCAAGACTGTGGCAATTCTAGTGAGCTTGAGAAGAAGCCAGACCGCACCCGGCTCCACGGTGTCTCCGGAGCTCCAGGTTCTTAAAAAAAAAAAAAGACACACTTCAAAAAGTGAAGTTGTCTTTCTGCACTGCAGGTCACTGAAATCACCCGCAGAGATGAGACCTGCTGCCTTCTTGGGGGGTTTTTACATTAGTTTGTGCTGGCTGTTGGGGGTGTAATATAAAGACATACTTTTTTCTGACTATATGACTGTTAACCTTCCTCGAATAGTTCTGTGATGTTCAACAGAAGTAACTTTGGTTAAGAGGATTGAATAGAAAGGTTCTATTGTATGGTGCAGCATAAGTTTAATAGCGAAACCAAGAAATAAGTTGTGCGTAGTGACTAATGTGTAGTGACTGATTTAAGTCTGCTTTGTAGGGGCATTTTGACACCATTTCTAACATTGTCATTAGGATTTAGTCTACAGAAGTTCAGCAAGGGCTGAACAGAGAATATTTACTTACAACTGTTATCCGGATGGACTGTTTTAGATTTCTGCTCTGCCCAGACTTCCCAAAGAGGGTGGGAATTGGGGGGTAGGTGGGATATAATGGTGCGTTCCATTATTTCTCTCCAAGTCGGAACTCGGATGAAAACGTCACGAAAAACGTCACTTCCCGTCGGAAACACGCCCCTTTTATGACGTTGAAGTGAATAGAGAGAATATCGCTATGAATGTACTAAAATATTTTATAAAGCTTTTAATGTGGTTTGACTAGTTCGTGTTTCTTCTTTGTCTCTCGGAAAAATCTCATTTCTCCATTTGGAAAACTCCAAATCTGCTAAAATATAAAGCAACAACACACATCAACGTGTTCATGGAGGCAGCCATGTTTGTTCCGAGATGTGGGTAGNTGAACAGAGAATATTTACTTACAACTGTTATCCGGATGGACTGTTTTAGATTTCTGCTCTGCCCAGACTTCCCAAAGAGGGTGGGAATTGGGGGGGAGGTGGGATATAATGGTGCGTTCGATTATTTCTCTCCAAGTCGGAACTCGGATGAAAACGTCACGAAAAACGTCACTTCCCGTCGGAAACACGCCCCTTTTATGACGTTGAAGTCGGACCAGATTTTGTTGCCCGAGTTGCCCCTGTGACGTAATTTCAACATGGCGACTTGGTTTGTTTATAGTTTTGTTTACTGATCAAAAACAAAATATCGCTATGAATGTACTAAAATATTTAATAAAGCTTTTAATGTGGTTTGACTAGTTCGTGTTTCTTGTTTGTCTCTCGGAAAAATCTCATTTCTCCATTTTGGAAAACTCCAAATCTGCTAAAATATAAAGCAACAATACACAGCAACGTGTTCATGGAGGCAGTCATGTTTGTTCCGAGATGTGGGTAGCTCGAACGGGAGATTGTCGGACGTGATGTCACTCAACTCGGAATTTCGAGCTCCGAGAGAAAAACGAACGCACCATTAGCATGTGGTGTCTTGCTCGTCATGCACTGAGCTCCTGGAACTTGTTTTATGTGTGAATTGGCCTGTTTTTGGTTTTCAATCTCCCTGGGCCAGAAGGACGGTCTCAGAGTACTGTTGCCAGGTATGGATCCAACGTTCTTCCATGGTGTGACTGGAGGGGAACACTGAGCCGAGATCCGTTTGCTTGTCTGTGTAGCTTGAGTGGTTCTTGGGTTTGGTGGGTGTCACAGATAGTAAGGACAGTGCCAGAAGAAAGTCATATCATATGTCCAGTGTGTGTGTGAATGATAGAGACGGACCTCTTGAAAGTCTGTCACCTCATTCCACCGCTGGGACAGAAAAGGAAGTAATCCCTGTATTTCTGTAAAAAAATACTTGCGTTTTTTAAATGCTAAGATGTCACCCAGACTACTTGCTGTTCATTGATGCTCTTTGTGTCATCTTGGTTATTTAGCTGCTGGCTGCAAGCACAACCTCTTGGAAAAGTGCTCGTTGGTGTTTGATCAGTGGCTTCTAGACAAGTGATCCCCTTTCCTCTTGTCAGTGCTCTGTGAAGTTGGGCATGCATGGCGATGTGAAGATCTGTCCTTCCATGGGGAAAGCTCCACTCGACCCAGTTGGAGGAGGAAGTGTATGAGGTGACAGGGATTAACGGCTCATACCTGTGTGCCTATTGAACCTTTTGATCGGGGAGTACTCAAGTCCCCAAATCTTGGCATGCTATAAATGGTGCCTACAGAGTAAGCAAGTGGCTGCTGGGTGCTTCTTGAGATTGGGTTGAAGTTGGGGTTTGGTTTGGGTTGGGGTTAGTTGCTCTGAAACTATTTGGGGAGAGAGTTAAACCTTTCAAGATAAGTCTTCAGTTGAAAGACTGTTTTGAATTTTCTACAGGAAGCCTACTGACCACCTACAGCTGATGGTAAAACTGGGTGAACATTAGTCATTTTCTTCATGTGATGTTATTTCTCTTTTGATGGATGTTTGTGCGTCTCACAGTGCTGAGCACCTCCACAGTGAGAGGTCAAGTGTTGACCTTTTTTGTGGCAGACGAGGGTTGCTTTGATTTTAATATCAGTGTAGATTC